GGAAAGAATGACCCTGAAGTTGCTTGCTGCTGGTAATGATTTGTAATCAGCAAAAAAAAAAAAAAACATAAAAAAATCAGTTCAAGAAATGTACTGTATGGGCTCTTGCTGCAGATTTTAACCTGTGGTTCAAAAGGGCAGGACGTAGCACCTTCAGTCTGTCCAGCTGCCCCAAAGCAGCACTTGGGCTCACATGACAGTCGCACTTCAGAAGTCAGTGGCTATGATAAGGCTCCCAACCCTCTCTTTCCCAACATTCTGGGTTTTTTGTTTTTTGATGATCAAAACAACAGTGGATGGTTTCAACCCCGGCCTGTCCAGTAGGCCCGCCTCTTTTTGAGTGTCACCTCTTGGCACAAAAGGTTTTAAGGGGTCGGTGTGGGTTAGCCTCTTGCCAGCTACGTGAACGTCAACCAAACCGGGGAGTCTCCTGGATCACGTAACAGCTCGATTCCCGCAAGTTACACGACACGGAGGAGCTGCTATGAGTTCTCTTCCTCCTCGTCTTCCTCCTCCTCCTCTTCCTCCTCAGAAACGCTCCTTTTCAACGAGCTCACGGCCTCCTTCACACAGTGGTACAGGATGTTCTTCACCTGTGGGGGAAAAGAAGGAAAATTGGATTCATCCCGCAGACAATTCCGGATTTTAAGATGAAACTCCAGCATGTTCCTTTTTTCTTTTTTTTATGCCACCAATTACAAGGGTGGTAATTTTCTAACAATGGTGGCCAGAGGCTTCACTTCAGAGCGTACCAAGCTACTATGAGCATATAACAAATGCATTTTTATTCAGAAATTGGTAAATTGACGGTAAATTAATTAATGAAATCTATTCAGTTCTTTTGACTGTGTGGAAGTGATTGTGGGTCAATGTTGTGGTCCAAGTGGAAACAAACAAGAACTCAGCTAAGGAAAGTTTGATATGATTTGATCTTTAGCTCAATCTCACACCAAAACAAACAAACAAACAAACAAAAAAAAAAATCAACAAATAATCAAAATTAAATAATTAAGGACATTCTAAACCAGATCTACGGGGCGGCATGGCTCCGTGGTTGTTTTCCAACCCATTGTCGAAGTGTCTTTAAGCAAGATACTGAACCCACACCCCCCAACCCCTCCCGGTTGCTCCTGATGTTGCGCTTTGAGGACCTGAGGTAGAAATATAAGTATACTATATAAGTGATTGTCCAATATAAAATATTGGTGCTTTTATTTTGAAAGCTGCGCTTTTATGCGTACACATGTGGACGCTCGTACAAGTGAGGTTTGATTTAGCCACGTTTTTCATTATACAGCATTTAGCAACTGTTTTTTCCCCCCCAAAAAGATACTCATAGAAAACCCAACAGAGGTTCTAATACGAGCAACGTTCTTTTTACCTGCACGCTGGAGAGAAGATTTCAAAAAGGATGAGTTTCATCAGCTGACCAACTAACTCTATTGACATATTCACCTGCAGTTTATCTTCATAGTTGACTTCTTCATGGTTGGGTCTGAGCTGCTGGGTCAGGTGGAAGGAGTTGGTCACATGCTCAGGAGACACAAAGTCATTGATGACCTGAACGCAGCTGTGGAGGTTCTGGACCTGACGGACAAGGTGAGCCAGTAAGACTTGCACGTGCCAGATAGAGTGACAACAGTTAGGTGAAACGAACAATACGGTTGCCATGTTGATTTTGTCATTTCAACTAGTAAACCAAACTGTGTGTGTGTATACCTGATGCATAGAACCAGCTGGTATTAGTACAGAGTCTCCCAGGAATTGAACGACGGTCCAACCCTGCACCCCGTGCTCATCCAAAAGCTGCTGCCGCTGTTTCTTGCTCAGGTACCAGCCCTGCTCTCTGATTGGATCCTGGTCCACTGATACATCCAATCCCTGCTCCTTACAGAGCTAACGTGGTTTGTGGCAGCATCATTCAATGGAAAGAGAGAAAAGGGGGGGGGTTCATTTCTTTTTTTCTATCTCACCAGGAATCCTCCAATTATCATGATATTCTGTGTGTAGCAGCACAAGTTATTTACAAAACAGATGATGAAGCCATCTTGAATGAAATACAACTGTCAACTGTACATTATATCCATGGTTGGGTCACAGCTCCAAAGTTGCCTTTCCCCAAGCCACTTTGTCCAGCTTCGAACGTATTTGCAAACACGTTTGAACATATGACTAGGCTAAATTCTCAAAACATGCTGAATGGAAATCATGCACCGCATATATAATAATAAAACCATAGGAAATACGAATGTATAACGTTTACCATATTTTTCCGCACTATAAGGTGCACCTAAAAGCATTCAATTTTCTCAAAAAGTGACAATGCAATTGTTGAATCAATTGTCTTCATAACTTTTGTCTCTCATTTATTGTTTTGTAATGCCATTTGTATTTATGTTTCATGTCTGTGTTTGTGAACAGTTCTCACAGCTTTGTGTGAAGGCTCATATATAAGGCGCATTATAAGGCGCATAGAATAGAAGCTACAATAGTGGCTGGGGTTGCGTTATGCATCCACTAGATGGAGCTATGTTAAAGGGAAAACAACACAATACAATATAGCTTTATTTATATCGCGTTTTCACAACGACCGCTGCTTATCAAAGCTCTTTCCAGAACATTGAAAATACTACATTCAAGAAATCTGAATATTGATCCATATATAAGGCGCATCGGATTACAAGGCCCTTTTGAGAAAATCGAATGCTCTTTGGTGCGCCTTAGAGTGTGGAAAATATGGTAACTGTGTACATTAAAGTAATGCCAAGTTAGCATTTCTACAAACATTAACACCAAATACTCCTTCTGGCTGATTAGTATAGTGCTCACTCAGTATGGAGGGAGGGGCAAACATATTGACCCCGGAGAACTGTGAAAATGTCCAGATTACTGAAAATATCCATTGCACAGTTTGTTTTATGTGAATAATTTGTTATTTTTAATCTACTCTTTTAAAATAGGGAAAATTTAGATTTAAATAAATGATGCTGTGATCGAGCATTTTCACAGTTCTCACAGCTTTGTGTGAAGGCTCATATATAAGGCGCATTATAAGGCGCATAGAATAGAAGCTACAATAGTGGCTGGGGTTGCGTTATGCATCCACTAGATGGAGCTATGTTAAAGGGAAAACAACACAATACAATATAGCTTTATTTATATCGCGTTTTCACAACGACCGCTGCTTATCAAAGCTCTTTCCAGAACATTGAAAATACTACATTCAAGAAATCTGAATATTGATCCATATATAAGGCGCATCGGATTACAAGGCCCTTTTGAGAAAATCGAATGCTCTTTGGTGCGCCTTAGAGTGTGGAAAATATGGTAACTGTGTACATTAAAGTAATGCCAAGTTAGCATTTCTACAAACATTAACACCAAATACTCCTTCTGGCTGATTAGTATAGTGCTCACTCAGTATGGAGGGAGGGGCAAACATATTGACCCCGGAGAACTGTGTGAACATGTCCAGATTACCAAAAATATCCATTGCACAGTTTGTTTTATGTGAATAATTTGTTATTTTTAATCTACTCTTTTAAAATAGGGAAAATTTAGATTTAAATAAATGATGCTGTGATCGAGCATTTTTTCTACGGGAATATATTAAATAAGTAATACTTCATGAATTCAGTGTGATGATGAATTAAACGGCTCATTTTAAGCCGCTGCTTCTTCTGTTACCTTGTACAAGAATTCCCGGACTTTGTCCATGTCTTTGTTGAGGTAGATGTGCCATAGTGCCCCCGGTGTCTCACTGGAGTCCTTCAGCCTCTTCCGAACGCCTTCATCGAGATTGTCCTCTTCCAGACGCTTTAACACTCCTAGAACCACGCATTTGCAAAACAATATTCAGACATTTCCTCCATTTCGATTATTACAGAAAACCCATTCATTTGTTTTTACACCCACTCATTTACAGCGCATTTCAACACTGTGAGGCTTCTGTAACACTACACCACTGACTCATTCCTTCAAGTACATTTTACTTTCTATTAAGAAGTAAACCATTCCAAATGATCAGTTTCTGTAGTTCTTGTTGAACATGTCCAGATTACCAAAAATATCCATTGCACAGTTTGTTTTATGTAAATAATTTGTTATTTTTAATCTACTCTTTTAAAATAGAGAAAATTTAGATTTAAATAAATGATGCTGTGATTGAACATTTACTATGCATTCTTTCTACGGGAATATATTAAACAATTAATACTTCGTGAATTCAGTGTGATGATGAATTAAACGACTCATTTTAAGCCGCTGCTTCTTCTGTTACCTTGTACAAGAATTCCCGGACTTTGTCCATGTCTTTGTTGAGGTAGATGTGCCATAGTGCCCCCGGTGTCTCACTGGAGTCCTTCAGCCTCTTCCGAACGCCTTCATCGAGATTGTCCTCTTCCAGACGCTTTAACACTCCTAGAACCACGCATTTGCAAAACAATATTCAGACATTTCCTCCATTTCGATTATTACAGAAAACCCATTCATTTGTTTTTACACCCACTCATTTACAGCGCATTTCAACACTGTGAGGCTTCTGTAACACTACACCACTGACTCATTCCTTCAAGTACATTTTACTTTCTATTAAGAAGTAAACCATTCCAAATGATCAGTTTCTGTAGTTCTTGTATTGTGATGTAAAACTAAAGAAACATTTTGGACATTTTACCTGTTTTGGACAATACTCCATTGCCTTTGGCCACTCCGACATATACTAGAATCGAGACAACATCAGAGACTTCTACGTGCAGGTTGGCAGTCCCAAAGTCCTGGTCCTGAGATGCCGCTACACCTGCAAAATGAGAAACAACTGATTAATCAAGAGTAGGGATTCTGTAGAAGAAAAGGAACTGCAAATAAATGGTCGGAGACAATCACAACATATCCTATATGAACATTACCGTATTTTCCGGACTATAAAGCGCTTCGGATTATAAGGTGCACCTTCAATGAATGGTCTATTTTGTAACTGTTTTCATATATAGGGTACACTGCTTTATAAGGCGCATAGAATAGAAGCTACAATAGAGGCTGCGGTCGCAACTGTAACAAAACGCTTTACAGAACATTTAAAATACTACATCCAAGAAATCAGAATATTCATCCATATGGAGCTCCCTGAGGATGTAGCATGAAGCATGAAACAAAGTCCATACAGGGTTTATTCATTGGCAACCCGTGAGAACTGGTCACAAACACGGACATGAAACAAATAAATGAAAGACAAAAGTTATGAAGACGAGTGAATCAACAAAAAGGCACACAAAGCTTGTGGGCTCACATCCACAAGGGGCTAAATATCCTTAGCAGTCTTGCTTGTCTGGTTCTTCCCTCGTTGAGTCAGGAGTTAACTTTGCTTTTGCTTTTATCTTCATTTCATAATGGCTGCGCAGAGCTAACAAACTAGTTGTTGGCGACTGCACATGTCAATTAGTGTCGGGCAGAACCCTTTTATGCTACAATTGGTTCCTGCTAATAATCACCACTAGATGGCAATGGAACACTAGCAGGGAAATAACTATGAGGACTGTAAAGAGACTAACACCATTTATAACGCGCATCGGATTATAGGGCGCACTGTCAGCTTTTCTGACAATGGAATGTTTTAGGTGCGCCTTATAGTGCAGAAAATACGGTACTCACAAAAAGTAAGCATATTTGGCTTTGGGGTAAAATTTCAGCATGAACCTAAATTGCACTATAATATTTATAGATGAACATGATTTGACCCCTTCGTCTAAATGCACTGTTCAACATTTCAGTACTTTTTGCACGCCTTTTCTCAAACAAGTGTTTGATTCACGACAAGACCAAACCATTTCATGCTTTAAGAAGAATCAGTATTTAAACACTCCCCCTCATCTTGCTGGTCACATTTTGATCTTCTCAAAGGCAAGTTAGTGTCATCAGCAATCAAAAATGAAAGAAAAAAAGAAGCGGGCATTTCTTTTGACCGTTTAGCTCTTTTTATGATACCAGTAAGTTGTGAAAAAAACTACGAAGACATTGAACAGTTGTACATGTCTGCCGAATTAGGTTCACTTGTATAGGTTCTCAGGTTCAGTCTAAAATTTGCCTCAAAAGGGGGAATATCCCTGACTTTTTGTGCGTAGTGTAGCTCAACATGTCATTTATTTTATTTCCATATTTGCATTTATTTTATTATTCATTCACACTGAGGCTTTACCATAGGCACAGCAGAGTCTTGGGCCCAAATCTGGCCTGACGAAGAAAGACGGCAGATGAGATGCTAAGTTTAGGCTTCCTTCTGGGTCCGAGTACTCAGGTAACGGCAGGTTCTTCATTAAGTCATCATACCTGGTGGAAGGACAGAAAATGGGATTATTGTGAAATAAGCGTTTTTTTGTTTTCTTGTTTTTTTTTCCATGAGCTGAACAGAAGTATACACAAATATTTAAGGTGCCTGTATGCACCTTGAAGGCATGAGAGCCATGAACTCCTCTCCGGAAGGCCAGTCCTTCAGTCTGTAAACTACAGGTTCCCCATCCTTGGACTTGAGTCGTTCTAAACACGGTAGAGGGTCTTTGTTTAATGAACAATTGTGAGATTTTTTTTTCTCAATAACCAAATCAAAGGTCAGCGCTTGAACTCACTGGTAATGTCCTCAAATCCATCCCAGAACTCCTTGATCCCTGAGTTGGAGACCACTTGGTCTTTACAATTGAGAAGGTCCCCCTGATGGTCTGCAAACTCCTGATTGAAAGAGTCCGCTTTCCACAGAGTGGCATTCAGACGCTTGTGGATCCCGGACACCAAAACGGGCTATGCAAAACATATACATGACGCAAATTACAATTTCGAAATGTCACGCCAATGGCACTTCCAACTACAAATACAAATGACATGTACCTGGCCCTGTTTCCAGCATTCTCTAAAGAGCTTCCAGTTATTCTGGTTACGGTGATCTTTGAGCCAAAGGAGTCGTCCGTTATTGAGCCAGCAGTGGGGAATATCCGGATGCTGATTGGATGAATCCTCTGCAATGACTGGAGGAACAGGCAATGACTTCTTCTTGTCTATTTTGACGTCTTCCGGCACGACGGGTGCAGGGTTGCTGTTGTTGGCAGAGATGACTGGCTCTTGCTTGATTGAAAGCTTTGTGGTGATCGTCTGGCGACTGGCAGGGATTTTGTTTTCAACGACTGATGCAATGATGTCATCGAGGATATTAGGCATGGTCCGGCCACCTTTTCCAGTCTTGAAAAAGACATGAGAAAAATTTGTATTTTATACAGAAATTATATATTTGGCATGTTTTTTTCTTTTTTTTTTGCATGTGTTCGCACAAAACTTCCAAAGATCCCGGCCCTCTAATTGGTTAATCGCTAATATTGGTCGGCATTAACTCATTCACTCGTGCAGTCTTGGCCCTCTAAATGTTGCCACTGAAGCACAAATTCAATAAAACAACGTTGAGCTCATCGCTAATATTGGTCGGCATTAACTCATTCACTCCCAAAGACGTTTTTAAACGTCTTTTCAGCCTTGGTCCAGAATTGGCTGATACTGAATGAGTTAAAAATGCTCAAGCACCTGTGAAGCAGTTGAATACACTGGCGCAAAGGCGATTCCGGCATCGGTGGAGCCCAGCTTGAGCTTTCCTGCAGTGGTGGTGAGCAGATCTCTGAGAGTGGAGCCTTGCTCTGTACTGTTGGCAATCAGTGACGTGGTTTTACATTGCTGCAGAACCTCCAAGCTGTCGCCTTCTTTCACAGATTTCCCCAGTAGCATCGAGTCTTTGTTTTCTGTTTTGTAAATTGGAGAGATCACAAGATATTACCTTTTGGTGAGCGCTCCTGTATTCCAATGCACCATAATTATTCTGAAATCATTTGAGAAAGATAACCGTTAAATTGATTTGTTCGACTTGCCTTTTTTTTCCTCTCTGGATTTCTGCTCTGCCAGGTCAGCCAGGAAATGCAGAGGGGATTGGGACTCCGGTGGAGTGACCGCATTGCCTTCATCGCTGGCCGGACTTCTTCCTCCTCCTCCGTTGGTCTCGATTTTAGTCCCTCCTTGATCAGAGTTCTGTTGACAGCGTGGCTCCGTCTTCATCAACGACAGTTTGTTGCTATGGTTCAGTACATTCTGCAGTACCTGGGAGAGAGGTCAGGACCGAATGTCAAATGACTACGGCCCGGTTGGATTGCTCATACACATGCAATGTCTAATGATTTAATTGTGATCATTCCTTGACAGTTATTCTCATTATATAACCGGTGAATCAAAAATAATGAACTGAGTCAAAAACTCCCACTGCACGTTCAGTCACGCGCGTGTACATGTGGACATATACGTGACATAGAGTTCCAGTCATACCTCGGTTTTCGACCATAATCCGTTCCAGAAGGCTGTTTGAAAAGCGATTTGTTCAAAATTTGAAACTATTATATAGGCTTTATCTTGCGATCGCCGCTAGCATTACCACATAGCAAAAGAGTGAGCCTATCCTTCATAGGTTTGTGGCCTGGAAACGACTTCTCCTCACGTGTGATGTAGGTCCTTTGTGGCATTTTTTTTTTAATCCCAAAAAAGTCCAGTATCGTCCATATTAAACGTTTGCTGGGGAAGATATTCCTCTGCCTTGATGAAATTTTCAAACTCAACTTTAAACTTTTGCGTAAATCCCGAGTGACGAGGAAGCCGAGAAGGAGTCGAGTGGCGTATTCGGGTTTGGTCAGTTTGGTCGAAAACCGTTTTCTGGTCGTAATCTGAGGTGTAAAACATAATTCAATTCACTTCCATTCTGATTTTGTAAAAAACAACAGCTAAATGAAGAATAGATTAAGTACCGTTTGCATTTGCAATATGACGTAAATTCTTTGGTGGCAATAATTGTACGATAACCATGAATTTTCTACCATTTATTGACTGACTTTGCTCGAAAGGCCAGTTACACCCTGAACTGTTTGCCGGTCATTCACGGGACAAGCTAACATGCCTTGAGATGTAATGTGAGAATGATTCACTTTGTTCACTTGTTGTGCAGTTGAGTACATAATGGCCACTGGAGGCTGCTCGTATTATTTACAGCACCAAAGAAAATAGGCATTATTGGGATGGATGCTAGTCTGCTGTCGTCTGAAAAGACAAAACACAAACACGATACCTGTGAAACTCCATTGGTGGTTGGTAGTTTGCTGAGGAGATTCAGTTTGCTGGTGCAGGCACAATGCCGTTTGATGTTGTGTTTTTCTCTCAGCGAATGCATAGAGGTCACTAATTCCGTAAGCACTGAAAAGTAACGGAAAAGTAAAACAAATATGAGAGCTAAGCTACATTGTAGAACCCATTTGTTTAGTTCAATTATTCAGTGTGAACAATATAACACTCATTTTAAATAGGAACACGTCAAGGCAATCAAGTGAATGCGTTGTCGGAACAATTAGTCCATTTGTTTTTGTATTTCTTTTCAAACAATTGATCTGCACGTTTTTTTTGCCACATTGTTGTCACACTTGTATGACGTCAGAAGCTATCGGTTCTCACAATCCTGTGTAATATGGACGGATGAAGAGTCAGAACGATACTCTTTACCTGTGCCGGGTATGATCTGTGTTGGCATGAGGTGTTTGTGATCATGAGGCTGGCCTTTCACACACTTCAGCCAGCCATAGAGTTCTTTATCTGACAAGAGAAATATATAGAATCAGAGGAAATATTAACGTATATTCCGTTATATAAATAGCAGGGTTTTTTTTTTCATAGTTTGGCCGATTTATAACACATCATTCAATCATTTCACATGTTATTTTCACATTAAACCGCAAGGGGGGGCTGTAGGCCTGTGTTGATAAATCGACGACGGGTCTGACGTAAGCGAAGTAAAAGAGGAAGGGCGAATCTTCTACCTCCAGAGTTGGCGGTGTTGTTTCAAAGAGACACCGAAGATGAAGATTTCATTGGCTTTAGTGATTTGGAGTGACATTGATGGTTTGGTAAACGTGTTAGTGTGTTCTTTATGCTACAGTTATCTGAATAACTCTTAATGTTACGTGAACATAACAGGTACGTTCTCAGTTCTTGTTTATGCGTCACGTCACATTAGCATATCGTACACTATTTCAGCCTGTTGTTCTCCATTTCATTTTTTATTTTAAATTGCATTTCAAGATGACATGTCTCTTCTTGGTGTTGGATTTTATCAAATAAATTTTCCCCCCAAAATGTGACTTTTTTTCCCTTCTTTATTACCCATTTTATGGTTGGTGCGATTTATACTCCGGAGCGATTTATAATCCGGAAAATATGGTAACTCAAAAAAATTGATGTAGTTTGCATTAGGTGAGTGTTTTTGTTTGCTGTTGTTGTTTTTTATGTATGATGGCAAGATGCTTTCACATTGCTTGAATGAATATTGTTCCTGAAATTAAGTCAATGAAAATTCTTGACTGTATTGTGCCAATCGTGAGTAGGCTTTCAAAACATAAAAAAAATCTCGACTTGGGTTATTTCTTGTCGACTGATTTGACCCGTTAAATTTGGCCTTCTATGATACTTAAATCACCCCAACCATACAACTGACCTTTGGAGCTCCTTCTTTCCTTGGCCTTGTAGCAGTCCAGACAGACAACAAAGCCACATTTCTGACAGACCCAGTGGATGTTAAAGAGCGTCGCCTCACAGGCATCGCACATCTCCCTCACTCCCTTAACTGCGCGCTTCCACACGAGTTTGGCTGAAACGCACACAAAAAGTCATTAGCGCTACAAGCATAGAACAAGTTTTGGTATAAGATATACAGTTGTCCCTCACGATATCACGCTTTTCACATGACAGGATTTTTGCAATATTACAGGATTCGGTGGTGCATTTTCAATTGCGTTTTTTTTTAACTAACAGCAACTAAATGAACGCATAACAAGGTCATTCACTAGCTCCACAACCGACGCGCTTGCCCAGAAGCACTTAAAATCCAGTTAAACGAGGGACTACTGTAATCAAAATGGGAGTTATTGTGAGGACAACACACCATCCTTTTTGACCCAGGAGGCTGCCGTATTCTCCATCAGGACCATCTGACAGAACATGTCTCCTATAAAGCTGAGGATGTACTTGGCTGTAGTTTGGTCCAGGTGACTCTCCTCCATTGCTCCAGGGATCCACAGGGCAAGTGCCTCGTCATCAAACTGGTCCGGAGTGGAAAAACCATCCATTCGGATGACACCATTTTTACTGTAGGAAAGCCTAAAAAGGGGAAACAGGATAAAAATAGTCCAAACTTCAGAACATTAGAAAAGACCTATATTTCCTTGAACTCAGACATCATCGCAGAGAATAGGATTCAAAATTGATCAATCACTGATTATGATTACTAAATATTATTATTAAATAACAAGAACAAGACATCTTAGTCTTATTATACAATTTTAACTAGTTGGTCCAACTAAGAAAGAGTCTGGAGTTTCTGGACCCCCAAAAAAGTGGCAGTGGATTGCGCAACACACAAACTTTGAACTTTAGTACAGTATTGCACAGGTGTCAAACTCAAGGCCCGGGGGCCAGATCTGGCCCGCCACATCATTTTATGTGGTCCGTGAAAGCAAATCAAACATGTCAACTTCTGTGATTCTTGCTAAAATCCGGACCAAAATTTCAACTCCTCATTTGTAATAAATAAGAGATATTGTCAGCAATCGAATAAACCGTTTTTCCTGAGGTTTTTATGCAGTTTCAGTCGTACCGGCCCTCCAAGGGAAACAGTAACTTCAATGAGGCCCGCGACAAAAATTAGTTTGACACCCCTGGTGTATTGCACCAGACTGAATGCAGGTCAGACAGGGTTAGAGAACAAGAATCAGTGGCGACGTACAGGCGAGAGAGCCGGAAGGAGATTGCAGTTGCGGCAGGTCTACAGTGAGGAAAGATTATAGAGCAGCAAATCCTCTTTGACAGATTTACACAGGATGACCCCCGGCTGCAAATGCTGTTGCTTATCCATCTATAGTGACTGTGTTTACTGAGTATCCATACTGTAGAAAGTGTGTGTGTTTGAGGCAAAAAGGACAAACAAAATATATTTAAAAAAAACAAAAATAGGTACATTTATGTATGGACAGCTTTGTGATTCTTTTCAAGTTTGATTTTACGCATCGTCACCTTTCTAAAAATAATGGCCAAAGTTATTTTTTTCAGAAAAAAAAAAGAAAAACGGATTCAAATATAGATTCTATTTATACATAATTTAATTTCAGGGGTAGAATTGAATAATCCATTTGACGAAGAATGTAGCTGATTTCATAATTTAATTGCAGGGATAGAATTTAATGTATTTAACGAAAGATGGAGCCGATTTCAGCATCATGAGATTTTGAAGGCACTAAAAATATTTGTTTTTAAATCAAAAATTGACTTACAGTAAGCCATTATCCGAAGGGACAGGTTGGTTTGGATTTTTTTTTACTTCATAAATGAAATTGAGCTTGGCATTGAGAACCTGCATTTTGTATTTCATCGGGCTGTCTGTGTGTTATATTCGAATTGATTTGATGAAGTGAAAGCTTTCTGCGTGATAGATATCCAAAAATGTGTTTATGTTGTGGCATGTTTTTAGCGCATTCAACGGACGCTCACAGAACATCTCGATTTTTTTTTTTTCAGTATTTACTTTTGTTCTCAAATTTCCCAGGCTTGCTCACAACATACTTTTTAGTGGTAAGATAAAATGGATGATTATTTTCATTTCATTTCAAGTACTGTCTATCATGTAGGGCAAATAAAGTATCCTGCAATTTCGCATAGTTGTACTTAAATGTTATTTCCATACATGTATTTATTTATTTTTCTTAGTATCTATTCCAATGAATAGATATTGCAACACAAATAATAAGACAAAGTAAAAAAAAACTATAAGACAATGCCATCAACCTCTTACCGTCTGAAATAGTAGAAACGACAAAAGACAGGAGAATGGGCCGCCTCTTCGCCTTTTTTGCTGCGGATAATCCGACACTCCCGACACTTTTGCAAACTGGGTCCGATTTCTGAACAAGAATCATCCTGAAGGAAAGACTCGCCCGTCTGCTTTAGCTTCTTCACCTTGCGCCAGTCCTTCAGGACAGAACGTGGGATCCCATCTGGAAAGGATGGATAGATATTAACACATCAAGAAAAGCACTTTAAAAAAAAAAAATTTAAGAGCATCTCACGTTAAAATTAAATACATAAGATGACCTCAGAGTAGACGTTTTCCCTGTACAATAAAAGGAACACTTCTAACTCCATTTATAGCATTATGGCCACATATCCCAAAATGTGATTATGACGTGCAATGTCATTGCAAAAAAATAAAATTAAATTACATTTAAAAATTGTAACATAAGAGGACAATGATTCCACCATGGGAAAATCGGAACTTTTTCTTTTCTTTTATATTTGGCAAGCTTATTATCCACACTCTTCTCTGTGGTGTGTCAAATTCATAAGTACAATTTATAAGAGAGCTTATTTCAGTTGACGGGGGCTTTAAATAAAATGTTATTCCTGTTGTACAGTAAAAAAGAGCCACATTGCAAGAATAAAAAAAATGCAAAATCAATTCTCCTTGGGTCGGAATCACACTTTTTTGCCCCGTGCCATTCCATAATCGCGGTTGACTGTTTCAAATTGTACCACAGCACGCTGAAATGAACTGTACTGCTTGGGGGTAAGGGGACTTGTTAGTAACATGATCTCAAAAGCTATCAAAATGGCCAGGTTGTATGTCATTAAAAACAGTAAGAAGAGAAGACTATCATTTTATAAATAGAATTAACGCTTTGAGGGACTTACAGTGGACGGCTTATCATGTTATCAGGTTACTGGGTGCATGACTTACTGCTACTGGCCAGTTTGAGTTTGGTCTTCTCTTTAGCAGATCGAAAGATGCCGTTGGGTTTCACGTCATCCTCTTCCTTTTCATTGTCTCCTTTTTTCTTGGCCATATCATTCTGTTTCTTCTTGTATGTTGGCTTGGGCTGACGCTTGGCTCTGCCCTCCATCTTGCTCTCGCTGGCATCCGAGTCGTCTGCGCCACTTTCTGAAGCAGACTCGTATGTTCGTTTGCTTCCCCGCCTTAGTGAGGAGGATGTTTTCCTGTCCTCCCCAACTGTTGCTCCAGCTGTCTTGTCCTCCGAGAGCTTGTCTCGTTCTGCTTTGCTTGCGGCGGCGTCCTTGCTCAGCTCCACCTCATTAGACGTGGAGGCACTGAGATTGACGGTACATGGTTTGATCATTTCTGTCATTGTTGCGGTGTTGCTGATGCTGGGCGATTTGTCTGGTTTGGTGTTAACTGAGCTGACAGTAGCGGTTGTGTTCCTATCCTCTTCGGAATGCCGCGTTAACCAGGCTTTCTTTAGTTTGTGGTAATTACTGGCCTGCCCACCACTTGTTAAAGCAGGCCCAGAAGACTGGCCGTTGTGCAGCGGACTTGACTTTCCTGGCGTTGTTCTGCCACTTGTTGAGTTGCCGCTACTGCTATCTGCTGAACATGAGGTTTGGCCTGAGGCAGGTGGAGGAGTGGAGTTGTGAGTTTTGTCAATGGGATCCACCGTTGCAGACGGGTATCCAGTCGTGGCGGACATGGACGCAGTGCAGAGATTGCTTTTAGATTGGGCTGCTGCCAATGCAGCTTTGTGCTTCTTGAGGTGAACGAAAGAGGGTGAGTAAGCCTGACCGCTGCCAGAACAGGGGCTAGGTCTTGGAGTGAGATTCAGGTTGGGTTGTGGTGTGGTAGACTGACTGGGAGGATGCAAAGATCCTCCTGGAGATGAGGTACGTGACCCAACCCCCACCTGCTGCTCTCCTGGCCCATGATGGGGTGATACAGAGTAACCCAGCTCAGGTGTAGTTGCCTCACTTCTACTCTGTACAGATGGAGAAACGGTTGTCCTTTGAACAGAGTTTGTGGTACAGGCTCCCACAGTCCCTTGCAGGACACGAATTGAGGTCTTTTTATATTGGATGTACATGTCATCCAGGTTGGAGTTGGGTTGGATAACTCTGTTAGCTCCATGGTCTCTTAAACTCTCGCCCGGTTTTTGACTCCCCAAAGATAAATCCTTCGGGGCCATAGCACCAGATTTGTTTACGGGATTGTCAAATTTAATGGATGTTGGCGGGCGCACAATGACGGATGCCATCGCAGCCTGGGGCTTGTCCCTTGACACTCCTTTCTCTCCAAAGAAGAGAGCTCTTCTGTCTTGACCGGCTCTCCACCCACCCGATGATGTCATATTCTCCACACTGACAGCTGAGGCAACAATGGTAGTATTTCCATGACCTTTTACATCCCTGAGTTCCGGCAGCAGTGTGGGGGGCTTTTGTTGCTCGACTGATGTCTTGCTGCCAGCTGCTGCTAACGTAACTGGCTGGATAGGTGTGAGAGTCGGCGGAGACAGACGTCCACCGTAGCCTGCTCTTTCCCTTTCCTTTTCTCGCTCTCTGTCTGCAGCCTCTTTACGTTCAAGCGCATGCTGAGTGGGTGGATGGAAGACGGGTGCTCTGTGAAGAGACGGCATGGCCCTGAGGTTGTGTTGCTGCTGCTGAGGGTGGGGGTGGTGGTGGTGATGATGGGGGTGGTGGTTAGACATTGAAGAAGAAGATGAAGAGGAGGAAGGAGATATCGCAGGACTGCAGCGCTCCAGCCTTTCTACACCTGTGTGGTGTTGATGTTGGACCAGCGTGGCCTGCTGGCTGAGCTGCTCGGTAATTTTCCCCGCAAGACCCTCACCGCCCTCTGGATGGTGCTTAATTAGGGGAGGTGGCCTAGAGATGGACACTTTGGCATTGTAGTTGCCTAGCGACAGAGCACTCTGGCTTGAAACAGCTGCTCCAATACTGGCCACAACCCCTTGAGCTCCGACTGACACCTTCTTATAGTAAGAGCTGAGCTCCTTGGAAGGGTATAGTCTTGGGGGCTCATTTATAACACTGTTGGACAAAGTGGTAAAATAGTTGCTCTTTTCGGGCTGGATAATATGAGGATGCGCGTGGCCTGCCTTGGGGCTAAGGGAAGCAAGAGCTGGTATCCTGACAGGAAAAGTGGGATCTCGGGTTCTCTCTCTTTCTCTGTCGATCCCGGGTTCACTTGAGCGTTGAATTTTGGCAGTAAAAGGGGCCACTTCGATGCTCTCCTTCAGAATTTGACGATTCTCTTCTTTGTACTTAGTGGCTCGGTCCGCTGCTTGAACAGCATCCTTGGAAAGAAAACATGTATGTTAAGTTTACTTTTTGAATGTACCACAAAACAGGAGTGTAAGTAAGTTGTGCGTAGCTACATGGTCAAAATAAATAATGCTTTCCTGATCACAGGAACAGAGGTAAATTTGCATACTTAAAATTAGTGGTAATCACTTTGGAGACGATCGAACGAGGCAAATCACATACCGTATGTTTGTTTGTAGATTACCGTATATTCCGCACTATAAGGCACACCGAAAAGCCTTCAATTTCCCAAAAGCCAACAGTGTGCCTTATAATCCGATGCCTTATATATGGATAAGTATTCTGATTTATTGGACGCAGTATTTTAAATGATCTGTCAAGCATTTTGTTACAGCTGCAGCTGTTGTGAAAGTCCTATATAAATAAAGCTGTACTGTATTGTGTTGTATTTCCTTTAGCGTGTCTCCATCTAGTGGATGCATAGCACAACCACAGCCACTATTGTAGCTTCTATTCTATGCGCCTTAAAATGCGGTGTGCCCTATATATGAAAACAGTTTTAAAATAGGACATTCATTGAAGGTGCACCTCACACTCCGAAGCACCTTATAGTGCGGAAAATACAGTAATTTACAAGGGAAAGATAAGGTTGTCAGTACTTTTGTATGTGAATGATGAATTCAAACCCAAATGCAGCATGTGAATATAAACGGCTGCATGATGACTTTGCAGATTTTTAGAACGAGTATGAACATATATATAGTTTATAGTGCCATTAGGGCTTGCAATTGAGATGCAAATGACTTTAATTAATACAATTATTTTTATTGAAGAAGGTATACTTTTCACTCTAATATTTAACATGTCTGAAACAAAAAGAATAAAAATCCCCTCCAAATTGTCTGCTGTAAGCATAGCAACATGCTTTATTAACCCCTCTCCTACTGCAGTCGCTCTCCTAAAGCAATTGTGGTCGCTCCAAGGTATGTCTCTCACTGAATGTCTTCAAATGTTTCATCAAATAAGTGCTCAGCTTCATTCCTCTTTATAATTTTGCAGTGTGGAATTTGTACTCATCTTTAGTGCTTTACCTTGAAGTTAAAGTTCTGTTTGGAGTAGTGTAACTATTTTTTTTTTACAGATTAGAAAGAAGATATGACCAACTCAAATGAGATCCTATTTGATAAATTAAGTCTGTCTTGTTCTGAATAACAACATCACTCATCACTGCAAATGAGATCCTATTTGATAAATTAAGTGTCTTGTTCTGAATAACAACATCACTCATCACTGAACTGATCTAAGGTTTGACAGCAATTGATTTGTGTTTGAGATGAGTATACCTGTGTATTACTCAGGCGTGCCTTGCTGTGGGGGTCCAAGTAGAGGTGGTGAAGCTGTGCATCTTTCCCGGTGATGCTCCTGTTACTGTCTGTTGGTTCTTGTTTCAGTTGGGCCAACGTCAAGGTTCTTATTGGATCCACATAGCCTCTCTTATCCACATCTCTAAAGAAAGAAAAAAAAATGTAAAAGCCTTTCCTATGCTTTATTACATGATGAAATGTGTTTTTCACATAATTAGCTTGATGGCAGGCACGTCACTGGAAAAAAAAAAGAAGCAATATTGGATTAACTTGACTCACTCTTTACGAATGTCCACACTGATCTTTGACAGCGGCGGGCTAGCGTGCGTGCTGATTTTAACAGAGGGTCGGTGGGGATCAGCGCTGGCTGGTCGTACAGGAACGTGACTCAGCAAACCCAAACTGTCACTTGCACTACCAACAGTTTGGTGCAACCACGGGCTGGCTGTGCTCTGGACACGAAAAGTGCATTGCAAAGAAAAGAAGCAGAAGGTAAATTCAAATACATTACAGTTGTGCACACACGTACACACAATTGTTTCAAAATAGCACCTCACGAGTAATGGTGAGGATAGAGTAAGGCATGTAAGGCTACTGGTGGAAGTGAGTCACTGGTGTTTAGTCAGGTGACTTCTGCAAGAGTGTTAGCAGGATGAATACTAAAGAGCATAGATCTCGAGTATGTGTCAGAGGCTGAGAAGGATGGTGTCTGAGATCTAGTGCCAAAATAACCCGGGGGCTGAGTAAAAGAGAAAGTGTTCTTCAAGAATAAGAAAGACCTCATCCCAAGTGACCTTCAACGGCATGTCTCATATTGCAGACAAAACTGAAGGATTTAAGTCCAAAAAAGAAATGTTAAGAGTGGAAAAATACTGTGCATAATAAATGTCCCTAATTCCTTCACGCCCATGAGGTAAAGGTAACACAAAACCCTTCGCATTAAAAAACTCAATCAATCATACATACATTCCCAGAAAGTCCAAATACCTTTCGAAGTGACACCTCAGAATTTACAGCAACTGGATTTTCGGGGTGAACCCATTTAGCTGTGGGGGGTATGTTGAGCCCTTGTTGGTAGGAACTTGGGGTTCCATTGGGGTACTGCCAAAGGATGGGGTAGAGGCCCAAACCTGAAGCTCCAGTATGAGGCTGGGGGAGCAGAGGTGGAGGAGGGGCCCCTTGACCCTGAAAACATAACAAGGGTTTTAGTTGACCAATGGAAAGCTCGGAAAAAAAAAAATTTACGTCAAATCAATGCCTCTTGAGGCAGACCTGTAGGAACTGCTGTTGGTGCGCAGCTCCCGGGTGAGGTAGGGCAAGGTGACCTAAACCACCAGAGGAGTCCAGCTGCGGGTGGCCCCCCAGGAGAGATGCCGTGTGAGGAGGAGGCATGGCTGAGAGAACCCCAGGGGGTAAAAGGTGCGGGTGGGGTAAGGCAGAGGTGTGAGTAGGAGCAAGGAGATGAGAGGCAGCATGTGGGTGGGACGAAGGGGTGAGGCAAGGGGAGTGGGGAGATGACGAGTGGAGCCCATGTAGGTGAGGATGGAGATATGCCGCCACGTGGTTAGAGGAGACGGTGGCGGAAGAAGTGTTTTCATTGTCTGAGCAGATCAGAGCTGGGTCCCTGTAAACAGTGAATGTCTCATTCTTATCGATAATTAGAGGGCTCTTGGTACTGCTGACAGTACTGCCCCCACCTGACTCTGAGTGAGCTGGTGTTGGCTTAAAACCAGAGCGAGGAGGCTCAGTTGTTTCTACTTTACTGGACAAACGACCTGATGGAGGGGAGGAGGTATCATAATATCTTGGCATTTTATGTTTAGAGACCTCTGGAGAGGTATTGGGTTTAGGTTTTGAGATATCCACTAGGCCTAAGTGGGGCTTAGACTTGATGTGGTCTGCTGGACTCGTGCTAGGGTATGGATGGCTCTGAGGGGTGTTGGGCCGCTGGGCTTTTTGTTTCATGGAGTCTAGCGGAGCTGGGTTCGGGTTCATTTTGGTTTTTGTAAAGTCAGTGGAAAGGACTGTGTTCGTCTTGTCGGGGTGTAGCTGCTGCTGTTTGCTTTGCTCCTCGGATAACGACGGACTCTTGATGCCAGACGTGTAGTGTTGTTGTGGCGTATGATGCTCTGGATGATGTTGATGAAGAAAAGGATGGGGAATGACTGATTTTTCCTTCTCTATCAGCATCATATTATCAGTCATTGATGTGACAGGTCTGGAAAAAAAAACACAGGAAGAATTTAATGTGTATATATAATTACATATATATGTCATATCTGTTTTTTAGCTGGCCATAAAGAATACACTGTCATCAAAACATTGAGAACAGCAAATATTTAAATGAATTTGTAACACAAAAATTACTGGCTGTAAAAATGCAGCCCTTTGGACAAACGGCCTGCATAACGTTACATATGAGAGCTCAGCAAATCTCATGAAGGCCTCATCTAAGGCGACGTTCACTCTTTGCTGCCGGCAGCCAAGGTGGACTCATTTTAGGTCACCACGGAAAAAAAAACGTAGTTGACTGGAGTAAAACAGGGTGCACACAAATAAATCTGAAAGTACGCAACAAGTCATAAGACATCTCGGCAATGTTCCACAGTGTGACGGAAGCTTTGCATTGTGGCATAATCACACTCACCACCTACAACCCTTCTAAAGCTTAACCATGTGTTTATTGTCATTTACCTACAATCCCCACCATGGCATAACCTTGTTTAACTATCTAAGTGTGAGTGAGTGAAAGTGACGACACGTGTGAGAACCCTGTAAGCGTAAATAAAGGGCTCTTTTACGTGTTTTGCGACAAGAGATGGATTATTGAATTACTGGTTGACAGAACACAAATATCATCACATTTTTATTGAGCCACAGTTTGTGACACCCCCGGCGCTGACTCTGGAGTCGGGCCCACCAGGGGATCATCAGTTGACTCTGCCGGGGCCATAAACATGCTACAAAGCTGCCTGGCATCCACGTTTCATCCGAAGAAAGCCCTGACAGAATGTGAGAAAAGCCGACCTGTATGCGTCTCTGAGCCTCTGGTACTCAGCGGGCCTTTTACTACACGGGCCTTCAGAGATACTCTGATAGACTGTAAGCAAACTTAGCAAAGAAAACATGAATATAGAGGGGGAAAAAAAATTGCCAAACGCGCACTAGATTTCAGGTAAACAGGGCTGCCATGGCAGCCGAAAGTGTAACTGTAGTCTTAGGAAGTACTGTATCTTAATGATTAATTGTGTGTGTATGATATGCTTTCTCTTGATTTGTATGCAACACTTACTTCAAGACATGAGCAAGTCGTGTGACACTTGCGTATAGCTCATGAGAGCTCAGTTGAGAAGGTAATAGATTAACTTTTGCTTTTTCTCACCCTGGATATTTAATCCAGCAAATAACTATTAGTAGCTTGAACAATATGGGGTTAAGAAATGAACTACATAATATCCATATATTCACAATGGCGTCAGTTTAACTTTGAATTAATTTCTTGATTAGATTTTCATTATTTTCCAATGGAGGGGAACATTTTTTTTTGAACAAATACGAGCTGGACCAGCATCCCGCAATGTGTTCATGTTCAACCTCGGACGTTCCATTGTTTAGGAATTTCTTTACATAAATATCGAATAAAGAATACAGATGAAATACAACTCTGAATCTTTGAGGAGACTCTAAGGGTGGGTGATATGAAAAGATAGATATCTAGCTAGCTAGCCAGCTAGATATCTAGCCAACATTTATCACTTACTCTTCCTTTCCAATGTTTGTTGATTAGCCAAATGAGGATTTCATCACTTCCTCCTACTTTGCAGCCAATCAATGGACCCGTTTGTTTTTCAGGCAGTATTAAGAATATTCGATCATGTAAATTCGCACATCGTGAAAGTAACTCTGATGGTTATATTGAGGAAGATCCATATCACTCACTCCTCGTCGCCTCCCATCCACGCTGTTAAATAATATGAAGAAATGAACAATACAGTAGGCGTTAGGAAAAGGTAAAACACATTCCTTTCTGTTCTCACCTGATAACCTCGGAAGAAGAAAACTCTATCTTGTTATTTAAGCTCCTGCCTGCTGTCACGCCACCTCCGATTAAAGCCTGCTGCATGGCGGGGTCAATTTCTGTCCTTCGGCCACCTTCTGAGGGTGAAGGTGAAGGAGGGACAGGAGGCGAGGAGACGGGGGATGGATGCAAGGTGAGGTAAGGTGAAAGGGCGGTGGACTCTGCCTTCTGTGAGGCAAGCAGAGCTGACACAGCCTCTGAACTCTCTTGATGCACGGTGGCCTGTGCATCATCTGTGATGTCAATCACGCCGCCGCCGCCGCCATGGAGGTGGGACAAGGAAGGTGTCTGACATCGAGAGGAGACTAAAAAAAAAAAAAAAAAAAAGGAGAAGAATATAACTGATCAATCGGTTATAATCATCAGATAGTTGGGAGCTGAGTGCAATTTACCTTTCACAGTGTTCTTGCTACTCTCTATAATAGTAGCCTGGATAGTGTCAGACATAAGAGGCATCTGTTGCCGTGGAGATTGTGTGATCTGCGTCACCGCCACCAATTCCTCCTCCTCTTTTGTGATCATTTTGCTTGTTTCCTTAACAGCCTTATTGCTGCTGTCCTCCGCCGACTGAAGCTCCGCCCACGGGGACAGGCAACCAACGTGAGATGAGGAATCGTTCATTTTGGCAGCCTGCATTAGTGTCTTCTCATCCTCCTCCATTTTTGAAGCAGTTGTTTTCACCTCACTGCTGCGAGTCTTTAATTCATTCTCAGAGTTTGGCTCTGAGGAGGAGGAAGAGGAAGAGGAGGAAGAGGACGACGATGAGGATGACGACGAGGAGCACGACGAATGGGCCATCCTCTTGTGCGGATTTTCAGAGTCGCTGCTCTCTGAGAAGTCAGATGTCATGTCTGTCTTCAGTCTCTTAAGACCTACCTTCTTCTCATCATCCTCACCCTTCCTCCGTTTGTTTACTGCCTGCTTGGCCTTCGACTTAGAGTCTGCAGAAATTAAAAAAAAACCAAACATTCAATTATTAATCTTTGGACAAAAAACAAATCATATCAAAGCACCTTTCTCGGTATGTGTAGTGCATCATTCCTTGAAATCGACATTTCACCATTTTCCAGGCTTGTTTCCGATTTGTTCATGTGTGCATTTAGAGAGAGACATCAGAAAGGCAAAAGAGGCTCGGCAGAGTGAGAGCCTCACCTTTGCCGACAGCTTCTTCTCTCCTGTCCCTGTCCTCCTCGGCAACACTGCTATCTGATCCTTTTCTCCGGGATGAGCGAGAGTTGCGCTGTTCTCTCTGTTCCCGCGCGTTGCCGCTGGGCGAATGGTGCGATTGGCTGGATGTTTGCTGGCTTTGCAGTGATTGACTCTGCTGTTGGGAGGCCAGTGCACCTTGGGAACCTTTCAGGTTGGGGCCCGATGATGTCATAATTGGACGGGGGCTGTTTGCTTGGGCTCGCGTATAGTGACTCTGTAAGAGTGGGAAACATCCTTCATTAGCAAAAGCAGCATCCAGACATAACCAAAAATAACCATCCATCCATCCATTTTCCGATCCGCTTATCCTTACAAGGGTCGCGGGGGGTGCTTGAGCCCATCCCAACCGTCTTCGGGCAGTAGGCGGGGGACACCCTGAACTGGTTGCCAGCCAATCGCAGGGCACACACAGACGAACAACCACCCATGCTCACACTCACACCTAGGGACAATTTTGAGTGTTCAATCAGCCTGCCATGCATGTTTTTGGAATGTGGCAGCAAACCGGAGTACCCGGAGAAAACCCATGCAGGCCCGGGAGAACATGCAAACTACACACAGGGAGGCCGGAGCTGGAATTGAACCCGTCATGATACTGTGCAGTCTCAATGTACTGTTCTTTCTGCAAAGTTTGTGTTTTCGAGGCACCCGTATTTGTCATCATGTCACTTATTGTGCGTACATGGCAATCATTACTGAGCCAAGCACTTTCTGGCCCGCGTCGATAGCTATGAGCAAGGTTTGACGACAGATTTAGAGAGCAGGTTCTTTCTAGGATAAACTGTCCCGGATAAGTCATTAATTAACATGGGAAAAAAAAGCCTTTGGGGTCAAACAATGAATAATCAGAATCGTAAGCACACCTAGTCCTCGTAGAAAGATTTTTTTCTTTACTGTGTAGCATAATTGGTAAACTGATACTTGGTAGATGTTTGTTTTTTTTCAAACAACACACAACAATAGTAGTCTGACCTAACTAGTCACCCCACACTGAACTTTATCGCTGTATTCTGGCTACTGGACGATTAAATGAAATACCACAAGAAACACATTTACACTTAGAGTTACAAGGACCGTTTCGAACAGTTAACCCTGATTCACCTTGCGTCACTACTTTGGGGTTTATAGACAGGAGAAAAATAAAGCGAGCTGCGACAACAGTGTAACTCTATAATGAAGTCAATAAAGCGGCATGTGTGAACATGGAGGTGGATGCAAAGAGCTTGGGAGTCGTGACGGTGGGTCGGTGGGGGTACCTGAGTGTTGCCAGTGGTCCCGCCGGGTCTCCCTCCCGCCATCTTTAACATGTAAACAAAGTTGACACACACGCACAGAGACAAACGGAGTGAAATGAACGAAAAGGATATGTCGGATAAAGACATTTGTAATGGCAGTGCAAACAATGAATCACTGGCCAAGTGTTTATTGTGAAGATAAACCAATTTACTTTTGACGAAATAACAAGCCATATGTGACCAGTGTTGTTTTTGACAGCCATTTTTTAGTCGCAGACAATACTTAGTCACATTTTTTGTCATTTCTAGAGGTGACAATTTTAGTTAACGAAAACTCAAACAGGTTTTAAATTAGTTATAGTCACTTTATTTGAATAGGGGCGGGGGGGGCAGACGCTCCATGTAATGTGATGGTGTGAATGTCCTTTAGGATTAAAAAAAAAAAGAAAGAAATCCTCAATCGCAGAAAATCACTTTTGGGCACTGGGACGGTGAGTATACTGAATTTCAGTCTGAACAAAAATCACACTTTAAGCTTTTAGTCTTGACACTTTCTGGGGAGAACCTCCAACAGACACGACTCAAATTTAGTCTATAACTCTGTGCAATAAAAGATTTGGCGGTTAACCAATCGCTCGAAGACGAACATATTAACAAAACAAATCACGGAGGTCAATTACAAATACAAGTAAAGACAAACCGATTGGCTTTTTAAAAGTTTTCTTATGCCCAATTAAGGTTTCTTACACACACACACAAAAGAATGTACATACAGGTGAAATAAAAACCATGTGAACCCTTTGGAATTACAGTGGAACCTCGGTTTTCCAGATTCATTCTGTGTTCCTGGTTGTGAACCAAAACATATCCAATAAAGTAAATGGAAATGCAATTCATACATTCCAGGCCTGAAACAACATTATTATATTTACCTTATTTTATGGGTGTGTGTGGCTAATAAAAATACTGTAAAATATAGAAAGAAGTGAAAACACACTTTATTGTGAAGAAATAACACCACGCCTTGAACTAAAGAGCTCTAGGACAACCTCAAGGGAGCGATTCACACCAGACATCCCAAGAACGTTGTTAATCTGAAACAGTTTTGGACAAGAATGGTCCAAAATTCCTCCTGACCGTTGCGTAGGTCTGTTCTGTAACTTAAGGAAATATTCAGTTCGTGCTGCCAAAAAAGCTCTACCTGTTATTAAAGCTTCCCATATTTCTTCCATCTTGCAATGTGACTTTGCACGTTGTGTCCAATAAAACCATGGAAACAAAATTGCTTACGTGTTATTCGTTTTCCTGCTCTTGTGTATTCTTTAAACTTTTACCATCAATTCATGCAAAGATCTTATAATAGTTATTATTATTATTATTATTATTATTATCATTCCAAAGGGCTCATGCACTTTTTTCTCACAACTGTATACATACAGTATATAATTCTCTTACTAGGGAATTCTTAATATAAAAAAACAGCTTTGGATGTAGGCGGCGGGTACTCACATGGGCAGAATTGTTGTTCTGACTGGATCGCGACCTTCGTCTGGAGGTAATGCCGATGTTTTCGCCTTTCAGTAGAGAGTGAACCACATCATCCAGAAAGGTCATCTGAATCATGGATGGATCCACATTCTGAGGCTCGAGCACCTAAAATGAAAACGTAGATCTGAATGACTACTCAAATATGTTGGATGAGGCTGCTCATCGGGAACACATATTGCAATTAGAGGTGAAATGCTAAGCGGGAGAGAATTATGGATGGATAGGTGTGTACCTGATCATTCATCACGACCATGTTTCGGCTAAAGAGGTCGTGATGTGTAATGATGCCTGTAAACCACTGGGTGGCCGAGTCTTGTCTGTATACACGCACACGGTAGCCATTCAATGAATAGGGACCTGGAAGCGACAAAAAGTGTGTTCAATAATATTTTAGCAAAAAAGAAAAAATATAGTCCCTTGTTGCATAAAAAAAAACAAAAAAAACAAAACAAAACAAAAAACAATTACATTGTGAAGCACAAACGCCCATTTCGCGCATCTTACCTTGCATAAAAATTTCCTGCACTTTCTGGTCTTTGAGCCAACCCTTCAATTCCTCATGAAGCTGAGGATTATCTCTTAAAACTGGGTTCTGACTGTCCACCTCATCCTGAAAGATAAACAAAAAAAATGCATGACATGTCAATGTGTTTAAAAACACATCTGCAACATAGTCTATCGGTTCAGAAGTGCACAGATCCCAAATAGCAGGGATGAAAAAATTGTGGCCTTTAAGCTGCTAAGCATTATCAATTTTAACCGCATAACTGAAGTTACTTCTTAGATATAAAATAAAGTCAATATTTGGTTTGGTAAGCCACAAACAGCCACAAACAATTCAAGCTTTTAATGAAAATATTTGCTAAAATGTTCATTTAAAAGCTATAGTTGACAAATGGAAATACAATAGTTTATCAGTTAACACTAAAAATGAATCTCTTTAATACTTTTATCGATGCCAGTGGAATAAAGACAATTACACATTGTGAAAAGAACCCAAGTACCCAAAAGAAAACCAAACCACAATTACCACATCGAGATTTTTTTTTTTTTTTGTGCCCATGATTCAATTATGGTTACTTTAGCATGGCATTAAAGTTTATGAATCACTAGTGAATCATAGAGGATTGAAGAAAAAAAAAAAAAAAAAAAACCTCGGCCAAATGTGGTGACGATGGAAACAATGGAAACTAAACAGACCGAATGAAAATGGGGATAAATGCCCCCCCCCCCCCAAAAAAACGGAATGTACAATATGGGAGGGCTGGTTAGCGTGTCGACCTCACAGTGCGGAGGTTCTGGGTTCGATTCCAGCTCTGGCTTCCCTGTGTGGAGTTTGCATGTTCTCCCCGTGCCTGCGTGGGTTTTCTCCGGGTACTCCGGTTTCCTCCCACATTCCAAAAACATGCAAAGCAGGTTAATGGAACACTCTAAATTGTTCGTTGGTGTGAATGTGAGCGTGTGAATGGTTGTTTGTTTTTGTGTGGCCCTGCGATTGGCTGGCAACAGGTTCAGGGTGTCCCCCGCCTACTGCCCGAAGACAGCTGGAAAAGGCTCCAGCACCCCACCCCCCCTTGTGAGGATAAAGCGGATTGGAAAATGGATGGATGGATGGATGTACAATGTGAGATGCGAGAGGATGACTTCTACTCCCCTCAAAGTATTGGAAAAGCAAGGCCAATTCATTTTCTTGGCTTTTAACATTGAGGTTAGACAATCGGCAATGTTTATTGTTGGAATAATCCATTTAATAGGGTAACACAACTTCTGAGTCACATGTTCCAATCGTTTTGGTCACATTGTATGAAAAGTTGATGGATTTAACAAATCCTAGGTTTCTGATTGCTGATACATCCAGTAGCTGGAAAATGCAGAGGGAAATGTTAAATTGCCATCAAAGCCAAGCCAAGTCATATTTGTCAAACAACGTTTCAGTTTTCAGGTAATTCAAATGACAACGTAAAGCTGTAGTACTCAAGAAAGCGCTGGGAGGATGCGAGTGGCAGGAAGAAAAGATTAGGGTGAAGTCTGGCTTTCATTTCACCCGCCAGTGAGTGTCTCTCCCTCTGCAGTGTTCTACTTTCTCATCTTTGTTCAGCTCTAAATTAAAACCAAGCTTACACACTAAAAATAGCAGACTGGAATGTAGCCTTGTGGAAGACAGTATCCTATACATATATTTTGTGCACTTTTACAGTCTGTTGTTGTGAACCGAACCCAGTCTGAGCCAGTTATAATTCTCAACCATTACAAGACCATTATGCGCCTGAATTGTTTCACAAAATGAACCTTCTCTGTCAGAACAGGATTAAAATAGTTTGATATCTATTTCTTTTGCAGAAAGAGTTTTTTTTAGTAGTTCAATCTGTTTTTCACGCAGTGATGCGACATATTGATTTTGCTCAGAGGAGCTGTGCCAAGATTCAGGTTGGTCAATCAGAGTCAATTGGCAATTGTCCGACCTGAATAAAAGAATCAATCATCAAAACCGGTCTGCCAGTTTGCAAATCAAGTCTACTTTCTTTCAAGGTTATGTTTTATTATGGGCACTGTGTAGACATGGACTGTCTGACCCCTATGTCTGACCAAAATCACAGAACAACGGTCAAGTAAGTGGAATATCTGAAGTCTTTTTTTTCCTTTTTTTTTTTTAACTTTGTTGAACAAAATTTGTTGAGAAAAATATGCATCTTAAGTGCCCTGTCGTGCATACTCTCACACAAGACCTCAGATAACTTGCGAAGGTTCAGGCATATTCAGACACAGCGGTCCCCTACTACTGGGCCGTGTACCGGTACCGATCCATTTGACATTGGGTACTAGACCGCACTGAGAGATTGTTTAAAAAAAAAAAGAAAGAAAAAAAAAAAAACAATCACAATGACTGTCCAAGTCTGAAGGAATTTGTTTTATTCTGAAACTCAGGGACATCCGCCAATGCCTCTGTAAACAAACACGTCGGTCATAGTAAAACTAAATAAATAAATAAATAATCAAGTAAGCCGCCGTGTTTCTTCCAAGAAAAACAAAGCTGCATTTGAAAGACAATGGGACTAATTTACAAAAGGTTTGCATGTGCAGAAACAGCTGCAAACTTGATTGCGTACGCAAATGGATGTGAAAGCAACCAGGACTATGTTTGCCCAACTCAGAAAATTGCAGTGCAGCTGGAAATACAAACTGATGATTTTAGCTTGCGCAATGATATTTCGCAAAACTGAGTCAAATTGCGCTGGCTGATTTTGCGTCTTTAACCATTTCATGCACCCTGTAACCCGATAACATGAGAAGCTGTCCACTGTGGTAAACGCTGTGGCTGAAAGGGTTAAATAGCGGGCAAACAAGCATGCAAAGCGAAACCCTACTTAAACCGCTTGTTGTGTTTTCACCATTGACAATAGCTTCACACAGTGTTCGCCGTCGCATCTAAAACGAAATGTGTCCACGTCGAACCTCGGAACAAAAGCAAGTTTTCTGCATGCGGTATTTTCTTCTTAGTGTAAAATACAGCCATACAATGATGTAGTTCGGAGCGGATCAGTTCCCAGCACGCAACCAACGCAATTGTGAATGGACCCGGGGCCCGTGTAAATACAGTGGTACCTCTACTGACGAAAATCTCTTCATACAAAATGTTCAAGTTCCTAAACGCTTCAACAGGAAAATACTGCCTCTTCTTACGAAGGACATTTCAAGTTACAAAAGGGAAAAACACAGTGTGGGCTGCTACTCGCAGCTCTGAGTTTCCTGAATGCAACATTCTTATAGCTGCTCTGCCATTGGCTACTACTGAGCATCATCCTGGCATCCCATTGGCTCAGAGGGACCTCTACTGTATGTGTCTATGTGTGTAGATAGATATGTGTCAATGCAGCGTCCTCATCTATCGCCCCTCGGGCCATGTGGCTTTCAGTGTTAAGTTAGTGTGAATCACCCAGAAAAAGTGTTCACCAGTCCGGCGATCGTTCACTATGCTGATGTTTGCCTTGGACATTTTCGAACGATTGTTAAAAGCCAACAAGAGCAAACGTTCTTGGCTCAGTTCTTTACAAAACGCCAGGCAAAAACCACATGTGAGAGAGAACATGAAGGAAACGATGAGGACACAGTTAATAGTTGCGACCATCATTTTTATTCTTTGTTTTTTTAACTTTATGCACAACTCTCATTTATTGTGCAATAATCTAATTGTAACAAGTATTTGTTACATATTTTGATGCATTTTTATGCTTTAGTAAACATTTATGTCCGAATTTTGGGGGGTTTGGAACGGATTAGGTTATTTACATGGAAAATGCGTCTCTACTTACAACATTTTCTAGTTAAGAAATGTCTTCCAGAACCAAATTCATTTCATAAGTAGAGGTATCACTGTAGTGTCGCCTTCCCCTACTGTGCAGCTCAAAATGTTACATCCCTACTATTGTGTGACAGGGCGAAAAACTAAACTACATATTTACGATGACATCGATTGAGTTCGCTTCATCCGAGCTCATCATTAGAAACCGTGAAAATCACTGAACTGTGTTATCGGTGGTGCCTTACATAAAGGCCTTGTATGTCAACAATAGTCGTGGGTGGAAGGTCGTTCGTTAATATTCTATTCACTTTTAATAAGGTCGTGCAACAGCTTCGACCAGCCAAAAGGGACTGTGTTTTGTTATTTGGTGGAGACAAAAACATTTGGTTGCCACACATTTGTGCAACTGCGTATTTTTAATGCTCCCATAACAAGGCTTCAAGATGCACTATGAAACATGATGGTTGAAAGTTGGCCTCTTTTTCTGTTTTTGACAATCTTGGTGGGTTACACATCTCCAGTTTTGAAGAGAGCGCCAGGAGAGAGTGTGGAGATACGGAAAAAAAAAGAAAAATCTTTGGACTTCCTTTAATCAGTTGCACATGCTTCAACTGTGTTAAACAAACATGTTATTTGATTATATAACAGCCTGTTCTACCAGATAAGATATAATGGCGTAATGAATGTAATGAATGCATTTTATTGTTGAGTGTTGCAGTTCAATCCGTTGTAATGAGCATGTCAAGCAAAGTGCTCAAATGTACAAGCTCATAAATGCACCACTTGTGGGTGAAGTGACATCACAACGACAGTAGCGACTTCTGCCGGCAAAAAAACGACGACATGAAGATAAAAACAATCGGCAAATATCGGCTATTTGTCAGATTATTTTGACCGATGTTTAAAGGGCAGAAAAAATTGGCTAACTTAATCGTCCGACTGATTAACAACAGATTTGGCCTGACAATTCTGATACTTTTGGAGGAGGGAGAACATTCTGTCTCCTCAAAGTAATCGCAGTTTTCAAAATAAAATAATTATTTTCAGTGCAGTTACGAAAACATTCATTTTATAGCTCGAGTTGTAGCATGAAACACAGTATTTATATTTGTATTATTTGTCTTTTGAAAATATGGAATAATTCGGAATAGGCAGTGATCGTTTCCAGTTTCCTACTGGCGCTTTTTCAACATTTTACTGTTCAGTTAATGTGCTACAAACAAAACAACCGTGTACTTTATGGGGTTGTGTGCCCTTTTCACTCTTTTCTGACTCACAGTATACTATTTTGAGTAGACAACACAGTTCTCACAGTAAAGCTACCGGTAGTTATAGCTTAAAGTGTCAAACTATATTTATACGAATTAAAGTATGCAAGTGTTTGCAACTAAATGGAATGTGTTAAAATCCAGTGGCAACGCAGTGGAAGTGTTCAAGTGGCTTGAAGACTGTACCTCTGTTTCAGTAAATGAATGATCTGCATTCACGCATTAACAGATGACTGCTCAACTTGAAGCTGTTCGTCCCTGAGCCACGGACGACGACGCAAAACAAATCCTCTGGACTCTCAAGGTTTACTGATGAGGAGAGCCGATGCGGTATCATGTTGAAGTTTGTTCAGATGTTACACATTGACTTTTATTGCTAACATTGTTGCCCTCAGTGTACTGACAAAGTGAAAACAGCTGTTTGGGAAAGAGGAAAAAAAATATCATGCGTATGCTGGGGTCTGTTTTTCAAATTGTGTGTGTGTGTGTGTGTGTGTGTGTGTGTGTGTGTGTGTGTGTGTGTGTGTGTGTGTGTGTGCGTGTGCGTGTGCGCGTGTGTGCCTGCGTGTATGCATGGTTAAATTATTGAGTCAGCAGTAAGGGTTTGTATCCTCTACCACCATTTGCTCACTCTCACATCAAATACATGTACACATTCACACACGCACGCAAGCACACACGCACCGACTCTCCTCTTGCTAAATCACTGCTGCCCACTCCACAGAGCTGCCTATTCTGGAGACCTTTGAACCCCTCAGAGCTGTAAAAACAGTCCTTCTCTTACTCACACTCGCTGTCTCACACACACACAAACACACACACACACGCAGTAATGAAACTGTGGCCACTCCTCTCTCTGTTTTTCCAGTTGGTCAGGAAGACTGGAGCGAGGAATTATGAGGGAGGGGGTTGGGGGGGGCTACAATCTGTTTGGCATAAACTGTACAATGAAGTCACTGTTGAAGGGGTCAACCTGGCCTGCGGCTTAAATGTGTGAGCCTGAATGTGTCAGGAAGAGAGTAAAAGTCCCACTTTCCTTTATTTTGGATTGCTGTAGTGATCGCTTATGGGACTGACTGAAAGTGTAGGCTTATGCATTACATAATTTATATATTATCAGTATTGCCATATTTTTCAGATGAAAATTTCCACTTTTTTTCGCGGTGGTCCTGCTAGTCATACGACAGTGGTACCTCGACTTACGAAAGTCTCTTCATATGAATTTTTGTTTACGAAACACCTCAATGGGAAAATATTGCCTCTTGTTACGAAAGAAATTTCAAGATACGAAAGGTAAAAAAAATACAGTATGGGCTGCTAGTCGCAGCTCCGAGTTTCCTGAATACAACATACTTATAGCTGCTCTGCCATTACCGGGCATCATTCTGGCTTCCCATTGGCTAAGAGGGACCTCTACCGTATGTGTCTATTTGTGTAGATAGATAAATAGATATGTCTCTATGCAGTGTTCTCGTCATTCGCTGCTCGGGCCATGAGGCGTCCCGATAGATTTACATAAAGGTGAATCACCCAGAAAAAGTGTTCACCAGTCGGGCGACCGCTCACGATGCTGATGTTTACCTTGGACATTTTTGAAGGATTGTTAAAAGCCGACAAAAGCAAACGTCCTTGGATCAGTTCTTTACAAAATGCCAGGCAAAAAACACTTCTGAGCGAGAATGTAAACTAAAGAGGGCAAAAAACGATGATGACGCAGTTAGCAGTTAAATGACCATCATTTTTATTCTTTATTCTTTGTGTTTTTTTACATTATGAACAACTCTCATTCATTGTGCCATTATCTAATTTTAACAAGCATTTGTTCCATATTTAGATGCATTTTTATGCTTTAGAAAACATTTATGTCTGAATTTTGGGGGGGCTTGGAACGGATTAGGGCATTTACATGAAAAACACGTCTCTACTTACATTATTTCTCGTTAAGAAATTTCTTCCAGAACCAATTAATTTCGTAAGTAGAGGTACCACTGTATAACATAATAATAATAATAATAATAATAATAATAATAATAATAATAAAGAATTAAAATAATAGCTGTCTAGGTCACTTCCTCTTGGAGTCATGCCAACACACCATGACAACAGTCATGAATTAGTGATTATTACTTACCTGGTATGGTTGGTAGGCTGAATGGTCAGATAGGAAATCCAGATGCCGGTCTAGTAGGAACTCCACCGCTGTTACTGATGACAACAGGCTCTTACCCACCACTGGCTTAAACGCCTGCCCAGGAAGGGAAAAAAAAGAAAACACATTTGGTCAACGAGTAGACAACAATTAGGGCAGCCAAGATGACTCGAATAGTCACAACAATGACAATTAAAGTCGATGATTTGTTTAGTTGTGTATTTATTTATTTGCCGCTTTGTTTTCTATTGAACCTGTCTTGCCTTCTGCTTCTCCCGCGGGCTGTATGCCTGTCTACGACGTACATGGTGGTAATACGGGTCACCCGTGAAGTAAACAGAAGCATTGTTGGTACGGTCATAGCTAACACGTATTCGCTACATAGTTCGAAAGTTTGGGTGCATTTCACCCAATTCAAAATAGCTTGCAAACCTCTGACAACACGGCTTTGATAAACGAGCATCTAAAAAGGAAGCACGTTGTGGCTGGTAGCTGATTTCATTTCTGTGAAGTGACTGTCCTGACTGGAAGCATAGGCAACCATGTGTGGTTGCCGTAACATGGAACACTGTTTGGTACGTTATTGGTACATATTGTAGCGTCTACTATGGATTATGAAGGGCTGAGTCAGTGAACTGACGTCTATCAACAACCAAAACGCCGGTGGTTATCATCAAACAGCATGAACACAAACACACAATCTCACTGTCACTCATGACCACACGTGGAGTGATAGATTTAAAAACTCAGATGGAGCAGTACTCAAAATAAAACAACATGACCTATTTGCCACAAGCCCTCAACGGCAGCACAATAAAACACAAAACATACCTAGTTTGCTCCAATACGCAGTCCTTGAAAAAAATTAAAAAAAACACTACGTGTTTATTTTCGTATTCTTTCGCAGAGTGCATCTTAATTGTCTGTTATTTATTTGTCCATACCTTGAAGAATTCAAGCTGTAAGCTAATGATGGTTATATAAGAGCAGCTGTGTGCTGCTGCGATATGGCGCCAACGACATATGATCCACTTATTATTATACGAATCGCGACAACTGTTGATCAGTCGACTGGCAAAATAATCATTTGTGGCAACCCTAACAACTAAGTAGCATTATTATGAGAACGTGAAAGTCATTGTAGACTAAATGTCAGCTTTGAATCATATGAAATAGACGGCACAGCCTTAATAGAAATTGCATCAAAAAAAAAAAAAACAAGAGGAGCACAAATGGAGACATGAACAGTCACAGCAAGACGAAGGTGAGATGGGAAGAGGGAGCTCCAGAGTGATGAATAAATGAATGAAAAGAGGAAGTCTGACAGTTCAAAGGCAGTATACTCCACTTTGATGCTGCATACTTAATACACACAATCCATCAATCAGAAAGAACACAGCACCAACATCTCCATTTTCTCTTCACTGTCTGTAAATGGTAACGTACACATCCATTATTGATGGCAAGTAAACCAAACTCAGTTTTAACAACGAGTAACAAACCCTAATTTTAAATCAATAAGTTATAATTTGGGGTCAGAAACTATACGTTGTATTGTAATCGAGTTCATTTTAAATGTTGTTTATGTTCAATGTTGTGTGAAGCACTTTTATCACAGCTGCAACTGTTGTGAAAGTACGATATAAACAAAGATGTATTGTATTGTTTCTTGTACCAGTGTGCTCTGCGTTCTAATGGACAGCATTTTTTTCGAATAAATAAATAAATGATAATTTAACTTTTTTTTTTTTAAATCAAATGGCCGCAACAATGGAAGTACGACAAGTCAGCAACAGCACTTTTGGGCATTGCGAGATTTCTTATGTTTAGTACACTAATTTGGTGACTTACATATTTTATGTGCTTGATAGGGCTGAGTGTTAAATGAAATTGAAATTAATATTACCGTGAAAGACATGGACACGTTAACGAGCAATCGTGTGATGTGATAGTGAATGGTTGGTTGAACTTGGGGGGAAGTGTCGTTTGTGCCGCCATTAGCTAACGGCGAACTTTGAGTGCGCAATATTTACCAACTGTCCTCATTAGTCACAATATTTTAAGAATGGCGGAAAAGTGAATGGATGGATGGACAAAGAGATGTAGGCGCTTCTGAGTGTTTTTGAGGACGAAGACATCCAACTTTAAATTGTCAACACGGAATGACCATTATTACCGCCAAGCTAGGCGAGCTAAACGCTTGTCACGCGGCAAAACAGGGCCGCTGAAGCTACAAAGCTAAAACAAGACTTATAAAAAGCTCATGGATCACAACGGCCGGAGTAGAAATTACTGTAGAGTGAACAACTAACTAGTTGCCAAGGATTCTGATACAGCGCTGCTGGAATAGACGAAGGTAAACAGGAAAATGCTCACTTTAATACTGTAATATTGTTATTGAGTTTGTTCCCTGTTGTAGCAACTGGCAGCAGCCTCCAGTATTTGTGTGAGTGTTTTTTTTTGTTTGTTTTTTTACTACATCGCATTGAAAATGTTTACCTGTTTAAAGTCTCACCACGTAAGTAGTCATAAAATAGGACAGAGGATTTATTTACAGAGAATATATTTGTTTTTGTAAGCCTCTGTAATATTCAGTTTGAACATAAACTGCCTTCCTATATAGGGGGAAAAAAATAATGAAGCGGTGCATGTTGAATAAATTGCACCTTGTGACATCACAAAGTGAGCATCCGAGCTTTTTCTTGGATCTTGGTGCGTAGAGAGGCGGAATGAGCATGAATGCTCCACCAAGATGAGTGAATGGAAAAAAAAAACACCACTTTGGGGATGTTTTTAGTGAGGAGCTAGCATTTTAACATGGCTAAAATATGGGAAAAAAAGTTGATTTCGCATGATAAGGGTCTTCAAACATTTCATACTTGCAGCGATATATTCAGTTGCTCATTTGAAATCGTTCTGTCCCATTACGTCACTTAGGAGGAGCACTGTTGTTTATGTGAGGGCTGGACACTATTCAACTTGTGAGTATGTGTAGCGAGGGTGGCTGTTGCTATGATTTTATGGTTACATAACAAGGTCAGTCTGTCATGGAGCGATGAGGAACATGACTGCTGTGACCCCGCCTTCATACACCCATGGGAGGCAGACATGCTGTTTGTTTGTGTGTATGTGTGTGTGTTTGTGTGTGTGTGTGTGTGTGTGTGTCTGCGACTCTATTTCTGTCTGTCAACAGATATTTGGAGTCTACAGTTTACTCGGTAGCCCAGGGAGTTATAATATGTTACAGTATTTTGTGGAGCAGTAGTCTGAAAGTCATGTATTCTTGATGACATCGACAATGTTTATTTCCAGGTCATCAATTGTATTTTGGGAACTTTGCAACACGGATGTATGTTTTCATGAAACAATGTTTCAACATGTGGTTCAATGAAATAATGATCCCACTTTATGAAACTTAGTTTCACATAAACTTTAACTCACTCACTCACTCACTCACTCACTCACTCACTCACTCACTCATTCACTCACCTGTTTTCAGTACCGTATTTATATGTCGGCGAGAAAACCAATTTTGAGTTTGAAGTGAACGTCGGTGCTAAGTGCACTCTACTCAACAACCCACACATATGATTCATCGTTTCCTCAGTTCTCCATTATTATTACTGTGCATTTGAAACATAGAATCTGGTTAAAGTAACTGGTGTGGATGGAGATGACATATTTAGTTTTTTGGGAGGCAGTCTTGTTTTAACACAGCAACATCACAAGACGATCTGAGGTCATTTGCAAGCAAACAGGAAACACCCCTGAGAGACGCGACATGAAAGTAGTTCATGTTCAGGATGTCGACAGTCACGATGTAAAAACTATTCAGACATTTGTCTTTGGTCGTTGTTCAGAATTGTAGTTTTTCCTTTCCGATGGAAAACAAAAAAATTCTAATAATGTAGATGACGTGTGGCAGGCAGGAGAGAGAACTGAATTAATGGGCACTCTATGTGGGTCACATTAAAACAGCTGCTTTCCATGACACACACATGCACAGGTTGTACTGTAATCTTCTTATTGCTCTGATACTAAATAACTAGAGATGTCAAAACACAGCTGCTCTGTCTTTCACGGACACAAGAGGAACTCAATGCACACATTAAATACGGTAATGCACATGCTATGTGGTTCACACGATGTGGTCAGAAAGGAGAGAATTTAAATTCAAAGTATGAATCGCAGTTACACGATGTGAAGACATCGCAAATTATAGCGAATTAAAATGCAAGGAACCTTTTGCACAGGCGAAAAATCCATTTTGCAGGTTGAGAGTGAACGAGCCACCAGCTGACCACCGCACACCCCCAAGAGACCGAAATGCAGTTTATATAGTGCACATGATTTACAACAATACTTAACCGTGTTTATGATGTTATATGTACCTGTGGATGAAACCGTGACGCTTGTGCTAAAAATAGACGCGAGCGACGTACGTACTGCGCCGGTTACATTCAAATGAATGGGAGCGAGCCCCGCTTTTCAATATATCCCCATTTTCTTATCTTTATTCTCACCCACGTCCTCTTTCTGGAACAACCTGCTTCTTCCTTGACTGACACGCCATCTTTTGTGCGAAAGTGTTAAGGTCGACATATAGTATGAGGAGCCTCAGCATGCGATAGAGACTTGCACAGTTCACAACCCAAGGAGTCCTGATATGAAATTGCCCATTGCGCTAGGGTGAGCGGACAATGACCATTTTTTTGCCATTGTCGGTCCTAGTCGGATTCAGACGACCTTATTATGCTTTTAAAATAACCATTGTTACATAAAAACAAAACAATAGCTTCGACCCTCCCAACGTGGAAAGACGAGACAAAGTACCTGCATGTTCATATCTGAATGAAAATTTTATTTGATCTGAACATGCAGATATTAACACTTGTTTTCCCATAATCATGCTATAAAATAGAACAGATATACCCATTAACTCATTCACTCCCAAAGACGTTTTTAAACGTCTTTTGAGACTTGGTCCAGAATTGGCTAGTACTGAATGATATGTTAAGCATCCAGAAGTTCCAAAAGCAACATCGACCAAAAATGTACTAATTAACTGGCAAATTAACTTATCGGTGAAACACATT